TCACCTGAGCCTGAGGTATGCTGGCAATGTCAGGAGAAAGAAAGGAGGAAGAGAGGAGACCACAAGAAGAATTATGAGATCTTAGGTGTAGAGCTGGGAGGCCTTTAGAGGCTTTAAGGCCAACCTCCTTGTTTCACAGATGAGAAAACTGAGGCACAGAAAAGTTAGGTCACTTGCCCAGGGTCACACAGCTAGGGAGTGTTGGGAGGCGTAATTTGAACCCAGAATTTTATTCCAAGTCTAGTGCTCTGCCCATTGTGCCACAGGACCTCATGCCTATTGCTTAAGGGGTAAGGGGAGGTTGGGATCCAGAGTGGGGGTAGGAGGGTTAGGGTTCAGTGAATGGTAAGAATGATGTGGAATATGAGAGGGTGAGACAGGGCCTCCCGCTGGTGGCACACAGGATTCCGGTCTTGGGCTAGGATTAGGATCTGACTTCTCTTGGGAGGTGGGGCTATGCTGGGGAGGAGAGCTGGTTTTTAAGCAGATTCAGGACCTCAGTCACTTAGGCGCTGGGGTTTTCAAGGAGGCATGGAGGCGACAGTTCAGCTGTTTGTCTGAGAACTGCCTGTTGGCAAGCAGTCATCTTGATAAAGAGTAATCCCTGCCTGGCTGGTCAGAGAGGGGTGGGAGGGTGAAGGTCGCAGCTAGGAGAAGTGCGCTTGCTTGGCCGCTCTCTGGGCGCTAGGAATGAGAGGGATAGGAGACAAGGACAATAAGGACCTTGGGACCTGGGTGATTGCTACCTTCTAGGTGGGCACAGTGGATGATGCAGTGGATTGGGCTCTGGGCTTGGACTTGGGAACACATGAATTCATATCCTCCCTCGGACATGTAGTAGCAGTGTAACCCTGAGCAACTCAGTTTCCTAATCTGTAAATTGGGTAGCGTAATAGCACCTACCTCACAGGATTGTGTTGAGATTCAAATGCGATAATATATGTAATGCATTTTACAAACCTTAAAGCATTATATAAATGCTATGATTATTCTGGGCATTCAAAGGAGAAAAGGTCATTTCTTCGCTACAGCCCCATATGCCCAATGGCTTTTAGTCCTAAGCCTGTCCCAGCACTAGTAGGAAGTCATCACTGGAAGAAGGGATGACGATTACCTGTGTTTCCTTGTGGGAGGCTCTTGACAGTAAATGGCATTCTTGCTGTAACCAAAGAAATCGAGGTGGACTGGGAGTGAGGGCCATCGGTGGGCGCACGTGGACTGTCCAATGAAGCTAATGTGGGTAAATGGCCAATTTCCTTTGGGCCCCCAGGGCCACAACAGCAGGAGAGAGTGAGAGCTGGCCTTGGACAAATCCCTTCCCTTTTCTGGGCCTCGGTCTTCTTTCTCCTCTAATAAACAAGTAGGTTGGGCTGTGTGATCTGAGGTCCCTTCAGACTTTGAAACCTGTGACCTCCTGATCACAGGACTAGACAAGCTTGGATTCTATTCCGAATTCCTCTGCGTTACTCATTTAGGGACCTTGGTTAATTAGAGCACTCTCTTGTCTCTCAGTTTACCCATTATAAAGTTATTGGTCAGCATTCATTATTTACCTTTTGTGGTGAAGTGGAGGGGTAAGGGCTTAGGACATGATGACAAGAGAAGGCAGTAAATAGGGGCTGCCGTTTGGCATAGGGGTGGGGTCTGAGCTTTTGTGGCAGAGAAGGGGGATGGGACTGAGGCCTGGTGGCCAGCAGCTCAGTATGAGCCAGCCAGGAAATAGGGCGGGCAGAAAGCTGAGGAATGGGATCGTCTTAAGAGACTCATCATACCCAGGGCTAGGGCTGATTGCTGCGCTGGCCTCTGCCCTGCTCAGACAAGAGCCAGAGTCCTGTGCTCAGTTCTGGGTGGGCACCCCAGTCTTTAGGAGGGCTTTGATAATCTGGAGAGTGTCCAGAGGACGGCAGCCAGGCTGATGAAGGCCCTTGAGTCCAGGCCATATGAAGAAAGTGGGGATTTTTAGCCTGGAGAAGAGGAGAATCTTGTTTCTCCATCTCCTTAATTTCTTCCTATGAGGCTAGAGTTTTTCGAGGCGTGTGCCCCCACAATCCCTGTCACTCACTAAATAGTAAAATGAAGGTTCTCCTGGGAGAGTGGGACAATAAGTCATTTAGATCCCCTGTTGTTATAATCCCGCCTGTAGATAAATCTAAACCATCCTGTTGCCTGATGCTGTCTTTCCAGCTGCCAACATCCCCACCCTTATCAGCCTGCAGCCCGCAACGTTGATCGGCAACATCTGAGAGAAGAGATTTTCGTTTTTTCTCTCATTCCTCCTTGGCCACAGTGTAGTGTTTTTCAGGCTCGTGGCCTTTGGGGCTTGTGTTAATTTGCATGGTTGCAGTAATCTTACTGGAATGTTTAGTTTTCCAGCTTCAACTGAAACCCCAGCTGGTTTGCAAAATTGGAGCTGTCTGCCTAAGCTTCTCCATCCTCGGTGCAACCCTGAGAGCAGAGCCATTCATTTCAATCCAGCAAATGTTTATCGAGCCCCTGTTAATCGCGGGGCTGGGTATTGCACTAGGTGAGGGATACAAAAACGAAAATTAGACAGCCCTTGCCCTCCAGGAGGTTACATTTTAGTGGAGGAGGCAGAGGGCTTGGAATTTTGCAAACATTAACAGTTGACTAAATTCAAGATAATTTGAGGAGCGAGAGAACAATTAATTACTGGGAGATTAGGAAAGATTTCATGGAGTAGATGGCACTAGTCAGTCAGTAAACATTTAGTAAGCACCTATTTAGAACATGCATGGGGTGTTCAAAGAAGGGAAAATGACATTTCCTGCTCTCAGGGAACACTGGAGGAGACAGCATTCAGACAACCATGTACAAACGAGATATATACAGGATAACCTGGAGATAAGCAACAGAGTGAAGGCACTAAAATTAAGGAGGTCAAGAGAGGGAAGAAAATAAGCATTTATATAGCACCTGCTGTATGTGAAGCACTGTGTTAAACACTTTGTTGCATAATAAACTTTATCTCATTGAATCCTTACAACAATCCTGGGAGGTAGGTGTTACTGTTAGCCCCATTTTACAGTTGAGGAAACTGAGGCAAACAGAGGTTGACATGCACCAGAGTCACACAGTTAGTGGGTATCTGAGGCTGAATTTGAACCCAGATCTTCCCGACTCCTGGCCCAACACTCTATCTACTCCACCACCAGCTATGTCAAGGCCCCAGAGCTGAGCTTTAAGGGAAGTTAAGGATTCTAAGCAACAGAGGGGAGAAGGAAGTGTTTGGATGGAGGGGTGGCCTGTGGAGGAGATGGAGAGTGAGGCAGCTAGACCAGAACATGTTGCTAGGATAACCGTTGTTGCCGAACTCTGGTTAGTGACCCTGGTAGGGTAATGTTGGTCTCCACCACGTGGATGCTTCAGTGTCCCAGAAAACTTTTCCTTTCCCCCCAACCCCCCCTGCAATATACCCAAACACGGAGCCAGGGGTGTTTCCCGAGAACTTGGACAGATGTAGCACTGTTTGCCCAGGGCGAGCTCAAAGCCGCAGGGCCGTGTTCTGTTTTTCTTGGCCCTCACTGACCTCAGACATTTGAGTGAAGGCATTTCTCTTAAGCCGCCACAATCATTTCATCTGGGGCTTTGCTTTTCTTTCGGCTTAACCACCGTTCTAACGAACACGTGGGGAGCCAGGCAAGGCTGGAGCTCCTGATCTTTGTCCAAAGCCACCTCTCCTCCTGACGATCCCGTTTCTATCACGAGCACCAGCGTCTTGCTGGTCGCCCAGATTCACAACCTTGGTGCCTTCCCTTGACTGCCCGCTTTTCCTCCTCACCCCACGTGCCAAATCAGTCACCACGTCTCATAGATACCACTTCCGCAGCGGCTTTCGGATCTGTCTCCTCTCTACTCCACTCCCGACAGCTCTGTTCCCTCATCGCCTCTCACCTGGACTCTAGGAATAATCGCTTTCTAATTCATCTCATTGCCTCCCGGCTCTGCCCTTCCGAATGATCCTCCACGAAGCTGCTAAAGTGGTCTCTCAGAAGCCCTGATCATGACCCTCCTCCACTCCAGAAGCTCCAGAGGGGCTCTCAGTGACCTCTGGGGTAAAATGCAGAGTCTTCTGTTAGGCCTGGCTACAACTCACCTTTGCACATGTGCTTGCAGCTCCGGTACCCCTCTTCCTGGATTTCTTTCTAGTGAATTGGGTTTTTCAATTTTATTGTTTGTTTAACAAGAATTTACTGTCTCTACCTCCACTCCCCCCTCCTTCACTTAAAAGAAAAAAGAGAAAACAGAGCCCTTGTAAAAAGTATGCACAGTCAAGCAAGTCAAATCCCCATGTTGGATGTCCAAAAATGTCTCGAATTTGTATCGACTTACATGTTGTCTCCCCCCAATAGAGAGTAAATACCATGAGGGCAGGGACTATTTCACATCTGTCTTTGTATCCCCAGTACCCAGCACAGTGACTGGTCCATATTATTAGGTACTTAATAAGTGTCTGATGAATGAACGCTCACCAAAACATGAAGCAAAGGGTATGATTTCTAAGGCAGCAGAGTGTGATGGATGGAAAGAACAACCCTGGAAAACATTTGTGTAGTACCTACTGTATGCAGAACACTGAGTAGATACATATTGGAACTGGGATCTAAGACCCCGAGTTTGAATCTGTCATTTTGCCTTCCTCAGACCCAACTCCCCTCTTGTCTAAAAGGAAATATTTGGGCTGAATGATCCAAGGCCTATTTAGCTCTAACTGTGATGCTGTAGGGTAGACATTTTCTTAAATTTACACCTGGGGAAACTGAGGCATCAGAGAGGTGTAGTGACTTGTCCATATACAATTATATATCAATCAAGCTGGGGCTGGAACCAGGATCTCCTGATTCTGTTCATTCACCCGTTGGGCAGCTGGATGATGGTGTAAGTGGAATGCAGAACGTGGTGTCAGGTTGCTTTCCTATCCCTCCGAAAGCCTTTGTCACTTCGAACTCTGTTCTAAAGCTGTGTGTGCTCTCTTCTCCCAGTCTCTCGAATACAACATCTTCGAGGGCATGGAATGCCGAGGCTCGCCACTGGTGGTGATCAGCCAGGGGAAGATCGTCTTGGAGGATGGCAACCTCCACGTGACCGAAGGATCGGGCCGCTACATCCCTCGCAAACCTTTCCCTGATTTTGTTTACAAGCGCATCAAGGCCCGGAGCCGGGTGAGTACCTGGGGGTAGACAGGGGGATTTTCCGATTGAGAAATTCTAGGACCCTAGTACAGAGCGACTCTTGTCTGCACCCATTCAGATCTGGGCAGAATGGTCCCAGCCCCGAATACCATGTTCATCATTTGGCTTGCTCAGTGCAACAAGGTTGGTGTAAAGTCTGCCACTGGGACCAAAGAATCTTTCTTGGCTTCGAGGAAGACATGAGTCCTTGTATGTGTTTAAGGGGAGGTCCCTCAGGATGTCCCTGGGAACATCCAGAGCAGGAGGTGGGGATGAGGGAAGCGTCCTGGGCTGTCCAATGCACCTCTCACTCTGGAACCAGGACCGACGCCTCCAAAAAGGGATCAGGAAGAGGCAAGGAGGGATTCACCCAGGAATGGGAGGCAGCATGGAATGTAAAGAGTTTCTGGAGTTAGGGACTTGGGTTTGAATCCTTCCTCTGCCATTTCATAGCTGCGTGGCCCTGGCCAGGTCTCTTTCTTTCTCTGGCCTCAGTTTCCTCATCTGTATAATGAGGGAATTCACCAAGATGGTTTCTAAGGTCCCTTCCAGGGTTAGAATTATGCTCTTATCTGTGACCTGGACAAATCACTTAATCTCCCTTATTTTCCTCTTCTGTATAATGAGGGATAGACTATCAGCCCTTCTTAAACCTTATGGGGTTGCGACCACAGTTGAAGAAGCATCGAAGGGGTCTTGAGTGAAAAAGTTTAGGAAGCCCAGGACTAGCTAAAGTCTGGGGTCCCTTCTAGCTTCAGATGGATGATTCTCTAGTCCTGTGAATGTCCCCAGGGAGCCTTGGATAGGAGGGGCTGCCTTCCAGGGCAGGAAGCCCCCAGCAGTCCAGGACTCCTGGGTCCGTCAGGGCACCTGGAGCAGTTCTGGGGCAGGGGCAGGGTCCCGGCTGCTCTGCAGACCCCATTCAGGTGCTTTATCTGTTGTGGGGGGAGACTGGGTTTAGATGGGGTTGCTTGGTTCCCACTTCTGAGATCCTGGGCAGGGAGACACTAATCCCCTAAGAATTGGGAAGTTTCTAGCATGGAGTCTTCTGAGTACCCAGATTTGGAGGGTTACAGAGAAGGGACAGGAAGGAGATAAGCATTTATTAATCCCCTATGTGTCAGCCAAGTGCTTTTCAAATATTATCACATTTGGTATTGTTTACAATTGAAGAAACTGAGGCAGACAGAAGTTAAATGACTGGCCCAGGGTCACACAGCTAGAAAGTGTCCGCGGGGGGATTTGAACTCGGGTTTTCCTGACTGCAGGCCCAGACTGAGGCAGATAGGTGAGCCTGTGATACAGGATTGTGTTTGCCTTGTGGTGGACACTCCCTTCACCAGGGCTTTAGTCTGTGTCCTTCTGCGGGAGGCCATCCTGACTTCGTTTTTTTAACATCTTAGTGCTTGGGCTGCGCATCTTGGGGGTCCTGGGACCCTGGGTCCAGAGCTCTTAGGGACTTCAGGGACCGTCCAGCCCCACCCCCTCATGTTGCATTTGAGGAAGCTGAGGCCCAGAGAGGTGAAGGGCCACACACAGGTGATGTAGCCAGGGCACCAGGAGGTCCGTAAGAGACTCACTGGTCCATCTCCCTTATTTCACAGAGGAAGAAATAAAGGCCAAAGAGAGGTACCCCAAGTCCCCTAGAGGCCCCCAAAGCTCCTGCTGAAAGGGACCCTGAGACCGTCAGTCCAGGGTTCTGAACGTGGCCCCTCGGATTTCAGGGAGTCTGTGAACTCAGGTGGAGAAACAGTCACATCTCTGTGTTCGTGACATCTGAAATTGAACATTTCCCCTAATTATTTAAAAATGTTCTTCTGAGAAGGGGGCCGTCTCTGGGTTACACCAGACATCAGATGGGTCCAGGACACAAAAGGGTTAAGAGCCCCTGCTCTGGCCCATTTCCTTCTTTTTATGGAAGAGGAAACTGAGGTTCAGGGAAGGGCCCAGCAGGTAGAAAGGGTCAGAGGTGGGATTTGAACCCAGGTTCTCTTGACTCTGCAGCCTGTGCTCTCTCTACCACACCACACTGCCTCTCTCCTGTTGGTCTCCCTACATGGCTGACTCAGTTCCTTTCCTAGTCCCAGGTGTCCTTCACAGCATCGATCACATGTGTTTTGTGGGCCCCCATTACCCAACAAGGCCCCAGGAAAGGTAGCTGCTCAGCACCTGGAGCACAGCCTCCTTCAGAAGCTTCGGGGGTGGGGTCAGCCTTCCTGTGCCTCCCTGAAGGGAGGCTGCTGGTGAGGGGTCTTTCCGACCACCCTCCCCGACTCCCACCCCAGAGCAGCTCGGCCTTCCCGTGGAATTCTTCTATGGTATCCTTAGAGGAGGTTGGGGTCATCTTCCAGCTTCCTTTGTTCTGTCTGGAAAGATGCCCCCCACCTCTGCATTCTGCAAGGGCATTCTAAGCTTTACTGAGAAAGGCCCAACTTTGGTGCATGCCAGGGGAGAGGAGAGACATTCCTTAACTTGATCAGCTCAGTACTTTAGAGTCCTAGAGGCTGGGGAAAGAACTAGATAACTTTTTTTTTTTTGGAGGCAATTGGGGTTAAGTGACTTGCCCAGGTTCACACAGCTAGTAAGTGTCTGAGGCTGGATTTGAACTCAGGTCCTCCTGAAACAGGGCCAGTGCTCTATCCACTGTGCCAGCTAGCTGCCCCTAGATAACTTTTCAGAGGCTCTTCCTGCCTTGAGGGGGATGATGGTGATGGTGACGGTGATGATGGTAGGGTTGCAGTGTTCTGGGATAAACGGTGGGCCATGATGGATGGAACCTTGGTCTCAAGGAAGGCCTGGGTTCAAGTCTGTCTCTGGATATGATCTCCTTGGAACATCACATTGTGAGGTGACCGATTGATCTTGGGCAAATCATTTTGACTCCCTCGCCTCTGTTTCCCCCATATGTAAAATGACACAGTTAGAAACTAGAAGGTCTCTCAGGTATGTTTCAGCTTTAGATTTATAGTCTTAAAATTGGTGCCCAAGTGCTAAGACGTTACAAGGAGCAGAGGTTGGCCTCCCTCCCGCAGCTGGAGAGTTGGAGGTGCCCTGCTTTTGGTAGAGGGAGTTTCCACACTTGGAGTTCCCACAATTGAAAACCCAGGTCCAGTCCCTATCCCTGATAGGGCCCTGAGTCTAGCAGAGATTTGGGAAGTCTGGCCCAGCTCTGTGCTGCCTTTAGGAGGAGGCTATCTAGCCTGGCGCTTCTCAACCAATAGCTATCGGTTGGCCAGTAGGATTTGAAAGGCTCAGGGCTTTCTAAGACTTCCCCAGATCCTCCTTTCTAGATATTATGATTCCCAGAGGGGAGGAGAATGCGTCTCACAGAGGAATCCCTTTGTTCCACTCGGGCATAGATATGGAGCTAGGAAGACCCTCAGGTCAGCTGGTCTGTCCCCCTCCCCCATTTAAAAATAGATTAAAATTAAACAAATTTAAAATAAAAATAGGGGTAAGGCTCAGAGATGAACCAATATTTATTTAGTGCCTACTATGTGCTAGGCATTATGCTAAGCACTGGGGATACAAGAAGAGTCAGAAGACCACCCCTGCCCTCAAGGAGCTTACAGTCTAATAGAAGTTAAGTGGCTTGCCAAGTGGGCCCCGTTTGTCAAGAATGAGAGACATTGATGTCTGTTTTCTTCTTGACCATAGCTTAGGGATGGAGGATCCCCTAGAAGATACATGAGTTTAGAGGTGAAATGCACCTAACAAGAAATCTTAAAGGGCTTACTCTCCTTTTAATACTCAAAAATCGTGTTTTTCCACACTCCAAGATTTCTAAGGCTGGGGTGAGGAACATGGTGGTGAAAGCCTGCCACCTGCTGGACGATCCTGTACCTACTCTAATATCCTCCTTCAGAATACCCAGCCTCCGGCTTGTTATCAGGTCGGCCAATTAGGTGTGGCCTTTCATCCTCATCGAGAGAGGACCCGGATGACCGAGTTCCACCTCCTTCTTCTCGGAAGACGCTTGCTTGTCAGCCCTCGCTAACTGGCTCTTGTCTTCGCAGTTGGCAGAGCTGAGGGGTGTTCCCCGAGGCCTCTATGATGGGCCGGTGTGCGAAGTGTCCGTGACTCCCAAGACAGTGACTCCGGCCTCGTCTGCCAAGACTTCTCCTGCCAAACAGCAGGCCCCGCCCGTCCGGAACCTGCACCAGTCTGGATTCAGCTTGTCCGGTACAGACGCATTCACAGATTAATTCTTCTCCCAAAATTAGAGCCTTTGGTTTTGAGTCGAGGTCTTGGGAACTTTGGTGTGCCCCTTGGAAGAGCTGTGGACTAGAAGGGGTTTGAGCAATCAAGCAACAGGCATTTATTAAGTGTCTGCTGTGTGCAGGCTTTGATGAGGGGGGAGGGTGGGGTAGCATATTTATTACATTCCTCCATCCATCCTCCCATCCATTCATCTTTCCATCTATCCATCCACCCTTAATTCATTCAAAAATCATTTGTTAAGTGTATTCTATTCATAGAGCATTGTACCAGATTCTGAGGGAGGTACAATGGGGCCTCTCCCAGTATGGGAGGGGGATACAACATAAACTCAGGAAATCACTGAACTGTTAATCCCAGGCCAGCCAGGACCAGCTGTGTGATCGAGGCTGTTACTTAGACTTTAAGAGCCTCAGTTTGCTCACTTAAAAAATGGGTATAAAAATATTTTCAGTTCCTCCCTCATGGGGCTATTCTGAAGAAAGTACTTTGCCAGCCTTAATGTTCTTTAAAATGTGAGATGTTATTATCATTGTTTGTATTATATTCTGGATATGCGTATCACCGAATCACAGTATTTCAGAGTCAGGAGGGACCCAGCTTGTCCAAACCATGCCTCTCAAATACGTGCTGATCCAGCTTTTCATTCAAGTCCCCCATGGGGGTGGGAGCGGGGGCGGGGTACCCCTCTCAAGGCTGCCTCTTCCACTTTAGCGCCACTCTGATTACTGAGAAAGTGCCCCAAACGTTTTGCATAAACAGGCCTCTCTACAGCTCCCCCACTCTTCCACACTGCTCCTGGCTCTGCCTTCTGGGGCCAAGCAGAACAAGACTAATCCCTCCTTCACAAGACAGTCCATTGAATATGCACCCCTGAATGGTCATCAGTGTCAGTTCTGGTGGCCTCGGTGGCTGTGGCAGGAGCCAGCCTGCTCCATGCTACTTGAAGGCCAGGTGTGGTACATCTCACTCCTCCCTGAGAGGCAGGTCGCTCCAATTGGCTCCAGCGTCCGCCAATAGTATTTGCCCACTTTAGGAGGGTCCCTAACAACCCACTTCATTTCACCACTTACCAGTGTGATTATCTTTTATTATGCAATATTTACCTAAGCAGAATGGTAAGAATAAACATATAACATTCTCCGCCTTGCCCTGCCCAAGGTAGCCTTTCTGCCCACCCCCACCCTCACTGTGGGCGAACTGGACACTGACATAAGAGTGTCCCAGTCTGGCTGACTTAAAGACACGGCTTTTCCTGGCTTAGACACGCAGATGAACTCCCAGCCTGATGGCTGTTTGCCAGAGGTGGTGGCCAGCCATAGAGGATGTCCTGCAGAGGGTTCACACGGACCCGGGGTGCCCTCTTGGTGATGAGGTCTTCCAGAGATACCAGTGTGCAGGTGACTGTGCTGAAGGCATCGGGTCCTAGCAGGCCTCCTGCTCCTCTTCCTCCTCCCCCTCCTCCTCCTGCTCCTCCCCCTCCTCCTTCTCCTCAGATCTTCAGCCACTCAAAGGAGAGAGTCCTGGCAGTCCATCTAGGAGCAACCAAATACTTGGGGGATGTCTGTTGTTTAGAGCAGAGGTTTTTAGTTTTTTTTTTCATGAACCCCTTGAGCAGTCTGATAAATCCTCTGGACTCCTTAGAATTATGTTTTTAAATGTATAAAATAAACTGCATTAGCTCAAAATGAGATAATATTTGTAAGGCACCTAGCACAGTGTCTGGCACATAGTAGGAACTTAACAAATGCTCCTTCCTACCTTTGCCTTCTTTCTTCCTTCATTGGAAACTGGTTATTGAAATAGTTATCAAAAGTTAAAAAAATAAGTAATGAGGAAAGTGTTTTGTAAATCATAAAAAAATACCTGTTTCAAAGAGAGTTATTCCTATTATGGAAGGCAGAAGCCTTTATACAGCTCTTTCTCTATGTCAGGTACTATTTAAATGCTTTTTATAAATATTATCTCCCTTGATTTTCACAACAGCCTTGGGAGGGAGGTGCCATTATTATCCCCATTTTACACTTGAGGAAACTGAAGCAGACAATGATTAAGGGGCTTGCCCAGGGTCATACAGCTAACAAGTATCTGAGGCCAGATTTGAACTCAGGATTTCCTGACTCTGCTCTGAATGCTGTGGGCACCTCCTACCTGCCACAGGGACAGGATAAACTTGTGTCCCGGGACTTCCGCTGTGCAGGTGTCTGCTGTACTTATCTCTTTGGTGAAGGCAGAGTAGCCAGTACTTTTGGGAAGCAGTCATGAGGTGAACTGTTCCTCTCTACCTGACTCTGGCCAGTGAGGAAGACAAATCAGAAAATATAGGAATTTGGGGAAAGAGTGTCCAGGTCACACTAGAATTTGCTGTAGATAAGGAAGCAGATGCTGGGGATGGTCCAAAGTGTACCTAGATCAGGGGTGGGGAACCTGTGACCTAGAGGGCCTCTCGTGGCCTCAAGGCTACAGATTCCATTTGTTCTGTGAAGTTTGGATTCAAAGGGCAGCACTTGAGGACCTAGAGGGCCACATGTGGCCTTGAGGTCGCAGATTCCCCAACCCTGACCTAGACTGTAGGATGGCATAGAAATAATGGGAAGGTTCTCATGACTGGAAATCCTAAAAGGGAGCAGCTTAGGGTGTGTGCTGTGCCCTTGAGAAGGAAATTCTAGTCAATTTCTGGTGTATTCAGGGAGAAAAGAAAAGGGGAGGTGACTAGAGAAAGTGTTGGGGCTCCAAGGGACTGAGTAGACCTACCTCAGTAGGCAGTAAGTTCCCCAAGACTAGAAATCTTGAAGTAAAAGCTCAACAGTGATTTGCTGGGGAAAGTGTAGAGGGTATTGATGCTTTAGGTTTTCCTTGGACCACTGGCTGATGGGGTCTCTCCCAGCTACAGGATTCTGGGGTTTTGGGTCCCTTTCCTTACTCCTCCTCCTCCTTGAGACACTTTCCTTTAATAATAGCTAACATTTATGTACACGTTATCTCATCTGATAGAATTAACTCTTTAGAGAGAGTACTGAGGACATTAACTCCAATTCCAAATCAATGGAGTTCTAATCAGATTATTGTACATTCTTCCGTTGGCCACGTAAGGTGCTTTTAGTGCTAATCATGATAGTTGACGTTAAGCACGTTGTGTACATGGCCTAATTAGAGCACAGCAACAATGAGAGGTAGATGCTATGGATATCTTTGTCCCTATTTTACAGATGGGGAAACTGAGGCTCGGAGAGCTTGTCTTTTGTCCAAATCACTCAGCCAATAAGCGTTAGAGGTGGGGTTTGAACCCGTCTTCCATACTTAAAGTCCAACTTGCTAGCTATGAAACCACACCCCCTCTTGACTATTACAGTAAATAGAAATAAAGCCAGAGTCAATAACTGCCCAAGGAAACAGGGGCCACAGGAGCTGAGCCCCCAGCCACCTGCTGGTCAGGCGGCAGGGGCTCTGCAGAGGCAGTAGGTGTGAGCTCGAGAGGCAGGTGTGAGGTTTAAAGCTGAAAGCCACCTCTGAAGCCATCTTATGAGTCCACCCAGCCTGCCTCATTTCAGAGTGAGGGAACGGAAGCCCAGAAAGCGAACTGACCCACTACTAAAGGATCTTAGATTCTCGAACTACAAGGGACCTTGGAGCTTTTGTCATCCAGCCCAGTGCCTGGCACACAGCAGGCATCTTATAACATGCTTTTTAACTAAGAGCCTTTTCATTTTACACATCTAGTGAGACCTGCCCAATGTCAGTTTGTAGTAAGTGGGGGAGCTAGGATTTGAACCCTCCAGGGCTGCAACTTCTTCCACGGGGTCATATTGCCTTTCTTGGGGCTCTGTCTCATCCCTAATGGCCTATACATTTTCTTTTGACACATCACTCCCTCCACCTCTCCCCCATCCCCCAACATGGTACCTTGTAGGGATAAAATGAAACATTTGCCAGATACTTTACAAACTTTCAAGTGCCATATTAATGCTATTGTTTTGAAAAAAAAAAAACCATTAAGCTGGGGGCAGCTAGGCAGTGAAGTGGATAGAGTACCGGCCCTTAAGTCAGGAGGACCTGAGTTCAAATCTGACCTCAGACCAAAAACTTGACACTAGCTGTGTAACCCTGGGCAAGTCACTTAACCCCAATTGCCTAAAAAGATTAAAAAAAAGAAAAAAAAACATTAAGCAAAATTGTCTCAAATGCTATAGAGCATTTTTTAAAACATTATTTAAAACATTAAACAAAAACTTCTTAAATGATATAGGTTATTATTTAAAACATTAAACAAAATTGTTTCAAATAGCAAACAAATGCTATAGATCATTATTTAAAATGTTAAGCAAAATTGTCTTGAATAGCAAGTCTGCTGGCACCTTGGAACACCAGCCCCTAGCACAGTGTGAGGTGCTTAAGAAAAGCTCATTGATTGATTGCTGATTGAAGCTGTGGGACTGTGGGGAAGGCACAGATTTACATTTGGAAAAGGGGAGGAGAGGAAACCTGGGGATGCATTTTTTTTCCTCCTTTTTAATTACTTTTTTCTCTGATTTTTTAAAATTGAATTTTATTTTCAGTTCTGAATTCTCTCTCTCCTCTCTTCCTTTTGCCACTGATTGAGAAAGCCAGAAAAACCAAGCTTGTTACAAATATGTTCTGTGACTTCTTTATAGTGATAGTGAGCACAGCTCTCATTCCCATAGCCTGTTAAAACTAATGAATTGCTTTTATCAGAGCAACACTGACAGGCAGGTATTGCCTCTCAAGGATTATTATTACCCCCATTTTATAGATGAAGTGACTGAGGCTCTAAGAACCTCCATCACTGAATCCTGGTCGCTCCTGCCTCCAAGAGCAGGCAACTTTTCTTTGGGTTGGACTGAGTTGCCCCTCTAGGACCCAAGACAAGCCAGAATAAGTTAGTACTGATGAGTGATGAGTCACTAAAGACTAAGTGTACATGGGTATGTGGTCGGGATGTGCTTCTGCCTCCCCTCTCCTCTCTCAGAATCTTTGATTTCCTTCAAGACTAGACTGAGGCAACACCTACATGAAGCCTTTCCTGAGCGTTACTGTTGCTTTTGCCTCTCGCCACGTGTCTAACTACTTTGTATATATTTATATCTACTATTTGTATTTGTATTATATTTGTATTTTTGATTTTGCTTTTGCCCTCCCACCATAACTACCTTGTATCTAACGACTTTGTGTATTTACTCATTTTATATTTATGCTGCAGACACTTTATATGTCTATGTTGTCTCCCCTCGCCCCTTAGAATGAGGGCTTCTTGAGAGGAGAAGTTGTTTCAGTCTTTATACCTGCATTCCCAGTGTCCAACAATATTCCTGGCACATAATATGCACTTAATTCTGGATTGATTGCTTAAATCATAGTCATTAAAGATTAGAACTGGAAAGGACCTTAGGACTCGTACAGTATGATCTCTTCATTTTACAGACGGGAGGACTGTGGCCTGATCTGGGAAGCGGTCGGTCCGAGGTCCCCCAGGTAGTAGGGAGCAGAGGTAGGAAGCTGCCAGGACTTTTTAAAACCTGCTTTCCCTTCTCTCTTTTCTCCTCTCTCCAGGTGCCCAGATTGACGACAACATCCCTCGCCGTACTACCCAGCGCATTGTGGCTCCCCCAGGCGGCCGTGCCAACATCACCAGCTTGGGTTAGAGCGTCTCAGTCATTGAGCAGCAGTAGCAGGCTGGGAAAGGGGGGTGAGGGGTGGGGCACCTGAGGACAATGGGTTTTGTTTATTATTATTATTATTGTTATTTTTTAGAGCCTGTGATAGTTACTGTGGGGCAGCCAGTCCATGGGGCTTCCTTCTGGGCCCCACACTCGGTCCTCCTTACCCTGATGTTACCGATTTTGCTCACCCGTGTTTATCCACTTCTGATAGCATTACATACATGTTCACACACCGACTCCAGAGACAGAATGTGACCTGACACCTCAAGGGTGCAAGACAAAAAGTATGAAAAAATCCCTACCACAACCAGGGTAGTTTTCCTCCAGGGTCCCTGTTGTTCTCACGAACACCTTTCTTTTCCTAAGGGAAGGATGCAGTGAATTGCCCGAGAGCTGCCTTTTTTTTTCCTCCCTGAGGAGGGGTGGGGTTTGGGGAAAGTGGTTTAAAAATAACGTTGGGGGAAGAACAGATCAAATATCAATGAATTGAGACCCGTGTTTGACAGCTGAGTGAATCAGGTTCGTAGACCAGTAGTCCCCCACGCAGTGGCTCCAGACCATGTCCATTGGCATTCCATACATTTCAGTCTGGGTCAGCTACTGACACGAGGCATCATTTCTCTTTGTCCTGGATTTGGCTACAACATGTATCCTTTGAGGTTCCCCTCTCTCCTCTCTGGCTTTTTGTTTTGTTTTGTTTTACAGAACATTTTAAGTTGCCTCTCATTGGCTTCTGAGAGACAGCATGGCACAGTGGGAGTAGCACTGGATCTCATGGCAGAGGCCCTGGGTTCAAGTCCCACCTCTGGCCGTTATTACCTGTTTGACCTTGGGCAAGTCACTTAACTTATTTGCCCCTCAGTTTCTTCGTGTAGGATGAAGGTGTTGGATTAGACAGTCTCTAAGGCCCTTTCCAGCCCTCAGGAGATGAGACTATGGGTATTTGTTTTAGACAACATTTTTCTCCGTGTCCCAGCTGCCTCTCCCTATCGCTATCCCTGCCACTTTTCCATTGTTGCCATAGGAACCTGGCCTGGGGAAATAAGATGCTGCCCCATCACTCAGAATGCTGAGTTGGCCCATGTTATGCAAGATGCCACCAAGCCACCCATAGTAGCCATTGCTATTTGATTCATTCTTTTCCAGTAACAGGGATGGGTTGGACTGAGCTATCCCTACTCTCTGGCGCCCCCTTGGTGAGAGGGTGAGGGGGAGATACAGTCTGTGGCTTTGGAAAGTGGGGTTTTCCCCTGATCAAAGCTAGCTGCCTACCAAGGGCATCAAGCTGCTGTCCAAGGTCTCATTAACACCATATGCTAATTGACTGGGCTAAGTCATCCCAAGGCCAGCCACCAGAATAGAACAGATGGATGAATTGGAGGCTGGTTTGATAGCATTCTCCAAGCCCCATTTAATTTGACCTGGAGGCATGTTTTGAGGAGTCAGGACCTACTGAAGTTTCACTCATTGGGAATGGGCCCCAGTAGAACATCGTGGTGCCCAGTTAAACAATTTTACCTCATGGAAGTCAACTTGGTGGAATAACAATGCATAGAGGCCTTAGAAACACACACACACACACACACACACAATACCCTTGGGAATTTTGACACAGGGAAGTCTCTTAATTGGCAAAATGGAGGAGCCATGCCTTTTTTTTTTTTTTAAACAAAGGGCGCTTCATTGCGCATTGACATTTGCAAACATAACACAACTTTGGTGGAAAGCAACGTCTGGCAAACTTCTTTCTATGGGCCAAGCTTGAGCCTATCGGTCACCTCACCTTAGCACTGCCTAGCGTCTTGGTGTCTTGGAATAGTTTCCATTAGCTGAATCCCCTCCCCTCCTCTCAGTTTCTTTTGTTACCTTGATATGTGTGGCCTTTATTTCTGTGTGTGTCGACAGGTCCTCTTAAAGGTGTATCTGAAGGTTCTTAAAAAAAAGAAACCCAATAAAAACAAATCTGCTTTGAGAAAGTGTAAAGAGTAAATCCTTTGTAGCCAGTCCACTCATCTGTCCAGACATATCGACTTGGGATTGTTTTTATTGTTTTTTTTTCTATTTTTTAAAGTAAAAAAGCACTTTAAAAAAGTAATTGGTTAACTTAAAAATTTTATAGTTCCCCTCCCTGACCCCCTGTTTTTCCTTTATCACCTGCACTTGAAGGAAATTGGAACAAGGTGGAAAAACCCTAAAGTCTTGTTTCCATTCTCAGCCGTGTTGGCAGCCTCTCTCAGCATTCACTTAAATCTTCCCTTTTTCCCTCATACTCATAACTTTGAGTTCTTTCGTTGTTCTAAAAGACAAAAAAGCCCACAAACAAACAAACAAGCAAAATGCAAAACAAAAACCCTAATGATGTTTGCAGGCTATGTAAGCATGTTCCCCTGTCGGCTTGCTTTTTGTGTCTGTTTAATGAATGTCCTATGTAAATGCTAAGAGGAATTGACAATGATTTGGAACGGACTAACTGCAGTGACTTGATGCTCTAAGACATTGTAGGATTGCGGATAGCTGGATTTTAACCCTTGGATTTGTGATTGTGAACCATGAGTGAAGGAGCTGTATGTGCTAAAGCTGATCATGTGTGTAGACAAACAGTGCTTTTTTCCCTCTCTTTTTATTTTTTACCACTGTCTTAATGGCAAATAATTATGGTAAAAAAAAAGTCGTGTTTATTATTCCTTAAGAACTCTGTGTAATATTACCATGGAAACGCCTAATAAAGACAAATGTTGTTGTTTCCGGGGTGTGTGTCCGTGTCGAGATGTTCTGAGGAGGTGGGTGTGGGGGTGCCCTCTGCGTGCCTCTAATCAGTCAACAAGGGTTGAAGCCCCTACTGTGCTGGAGAGCAATGTGGGCAGAAGAGAGCTGGTTTGCCCTGGCTTCACGTCTTGCCTCTGACACATCCTGGGATAGTTACTTAAGCCCTCATCACTCAAGTTCCAAGCCTAGAAATTTCAGAGGGGCTGACTTGCATCGGCAGAATAAATTTCTTCTCCTGGGAGTTCCCTATAGCAACGAGATCACAGATCCAATCCCTGTTTCTATGTAGACAGGAATACAATGATCACAATGGAATGATCCCAGCCCTCCAAGCTAGCAACTGATCAGAGGCAATTCCTCCAAACATCCTCATCCCAGAGGGTCTACACTAGCTTTAGGTTTCCTCCCTTGTGATGGAGACGAGTCAGGTTGAGGCCACTTCCAGGCAAACAGGAATGCTTCTTAAGTAAACTAAAGGACAGAGCAGGCCAGGGAAGAGTTACCTATCAACACAGCTACTGGCAGTGAGCTTGTCCCATACACCTCCTGAAATGCAGTGGTAGTCATGGGTTTGGAATAGAGCACTAGAGAGGTCAAGAATATTGGAACAATGACACCTCTGGACTCTCCCTCCTCCTAATCTAGCCTGGCTTAGCCACTATTAATCATAAGACCATAGACCTCGGTGGGAGTTCAGAGGTCATTCCAGTCCAGTCCTTTTGTTTTATAGAAAAGGGAAAATGAATTTTATAGAAAACAGGAAACTGAGGCCCAGGAAAATTAAATGACTTGAGAGGTATGATTCATGCATTTGCATGCATGTATGGTCATACTTGTATACCTACATATCTCTACAGATATATAGATAATATATCTGTATAAACATATAGACACACATACCCATCACAAAGTATAGAAAATGAACACACATAACACATAACACACATATGTAATATATGCACATATATACATAGATCTAAATGGTATATATGTATCTATAAATGCAATATACACATATATTTTCATGTACATATACATATACAAATACATGGGGCAGCTAGGTGGCACAGTGGATAGAGACTCATCTTTTTGAGTTCAAATCCAGCCTCAGACATTTATTAGCTATGTGACCCTGGGCAAGTCATTTTACCCTGTTTACCTCAGTTTCCTCATCTGTAAAATGAGCTGCAGAAGGAAATGGCAGACCACTTCAGTATCTCTGCCAAGAAAACCCCAAATGAGGTCATGAAGAGTCTTCCACAACTGAAAAATGACTGAACAACAAATACATATATCTGTATCTATAGCTATGGCTATCTGTATATATGTATGTGGTGTTCCAAAAGTCTTAGTGTAATTTTAAGTTATTAAAGCTCATTATTGACTAGATGCCATATTTTAATAAGATGACCAGGTTGGAAGGATCCTGGAGACCATGCCATAGGAGGGTTGGTTGAAGGAATTAGGGATGTTTAGCTTGAAGGAGGGAAGAAAGTGGGCAGCATCATAGGTGTTTTCAAATATTCCCCAGAATTTGAGAGTTGGCAGGGCCCTCGGTCAAAGAGTCGAATACGTCACCCAAGGAATCTCCATCCTAACACACCTGCCAGGTGTGTCCAGCCTCTGCTCAAAGATCCGAAAGGAAAGGAAGCCCACCATCTTGCACAGCAACCCACTCCACTTTTGGCTAATTGGAACTCAATAACTTCCAATGGCTCCCTATTACCTCTAGGATCCAATTTAAAGGCTCTGTCTCCTTCCTACCTCTCCTGCCTTTGTACACTTACCCCGCTCCGTGGACTTTATGATCCTGGATCTTGTGATGCTCGGTGACTTTTCACTGGTTGTCTCTCATTCTTGGAATGCATGCCTTCCTCACCTCTGCCTCCTGGCTCTCCTGGCTTCCTTCAAGACTCAGTTCAAATCTTACCATCTGAAAGAGGTCTTTCCCAGGCTTGTCCCCCTCACCCCTTCCCCCAGGACCTTTCCTCCGAGATTACCTCCCATTTATAATGTCTATATCTTGTAAATACACAGTTGTAGAAGGCATAGTTGTAAGCTGTAGGGGCAGCTAGGTGGCCAAGTGAGTAGAACACTGGACCTGGAATCAGGAAGTTCTGAATTCAAATCAGATAACTCCTAGCTGGGTGACACTGGGCAAGTTACCTAACTTCTGCCTCAATCAATCAATAATCAATGACTAAACATTGACTAAGTACCCACCATGAACCATGCCCTGTGCTAAGAGCTGGAGATATAAAAAGAGGCAAAAGGTAGTCCCTCTCCTCAAGGAGCTTACCGTCAGCTCCCTTACCTGTAAAGTGGGAACCAATGATAACACCTATCATCCAGGGTTGTTGGGAAGATCAAATGAGATAATATTGGCAAAGTACTTTGCAAACCTCAAAGCACTATAGAAATGCTGGCTATCGTAATTCTTATTGTATTATTTTAATTTTAAATTGTAATTCTTCTTCTTTTTAGCAATCATAGTTATTTTCATGTCTGGCTTATTAGGGTGTGAGCTCCTTGATGGCAAGACTGAGCCTTTGAGTTTCTTTGTAGCCCAGCACTTATCCCAGTTCCTGGCCCATAGGAAGTAAGTGGTTAGTAAATGATAGTGGACTGACTATCCTGGGCAACCCCCTAGACTCTCGTTGGTAAAGAAGGTGCCTGGGTAACCTGCATTGGGAACCAGAGTTTCCTCTTCATGCCAAGGACAGCATAGCTCCTTTCTTCATGCTCTATAATCGCAATGATAACAACATCATATATCTGGGTTCATCTCTTGTTGATTTCCTGTCACATCCCCCATAGCAGCTGTTCCAGATCTTCTCCTCCAGACCCCAAACTCTCCTTGTACTGCCATTCTCCCAGCAAAACATGGCCACGCCTTCTTCTTTCTGGAGAAATTAAGGCCATCTTCATATCTCCAAACCTCTCTTCCCTTCTTATCTAAGGCACTGTGGTGGCCCCTCCACTTTGCCAATCTAATCCCTATTTCACCTGTGTGCCTTGATCTCGTTCTGGGTGGTATAGTTACAGAGAACAATGGATTTTGAGTATGGTTAGACCTGAGTTTGAATCCTGCCTCAGACACTTACTAGCTATATGACCCTAGGCAAGTCACTTAACCTCAGTTTCCTCATCTGTAAAATAGCAATAATAATAATGTTGTTGTAAGAATCAAATGAAATAATAAAATGCTTTGCAAACTTTAAAGTGCTAATAAATATTTGATATTATTTATTGTTATCATCATCTTTTTTTGGTCTTCTTTAAGGACCTTACTCCTATACATCCTCTCTCCCTCCCCTCTTTCTGTCATCTTTAATCTCTCTATCTACTGGCCCTCTGCTCACCCATCTCTATCAATAGCAATAATACCACCTTCCTGTGATCCTCCCCCTCCTAATCTCCCAGCTATGGTCCACATATCTCTCTGCCAGGGCGCGGGGGGTACCCCTGATGGACTGAATGGGTATTTCTAATACAATTTTATTGATGAGGAAACTGAAGCACAGGGAGATGAAACTATTTGCTCGTGATCATTATTGTTATTCAGTCACTTTAGTCATGCCCAACTCTTCATGACCCCATTTGGGGTTTTGTTGGCAAAGATGCTGGAGTGGTTTGCCATTTCCTGCTCCAGCTCATTTTACAGATGAGGAAACTGAGGCAAACAGGTTAAGTGACTTGCCCAGGGTCACATAGCTAGTAATTATCTGAGGCCAGATTTTAGCCCAAACTTTCCTGACTCCAAGGCCAGGGCTCTATCCAGTGAGCCACCTAGCTGCCCCTGGTCAGTCACTTCTGTCATGTCTGCCTTAAGTTAAATGGCAGTTAGAATGTGGATGCAGATCTTCGTAACACCCAGGCTGGATCTCTAGTCATGGTGACATGCTGCTGCCTCTGTTGTGAATATAAAGGGTTGACATTTGTTTTATTCCTCTCCCCAACTTTAGAATGAAAATGGAGAGAAATATGAATAAATCCTACCTATTCCCCAAAAGAGTTGTCATACACTTGAGTAGATTAATAATTATCGATTACTCTTGAAAAAATTAGGCCTTGATGAGATCGTAGACCTTGGCTTGCTTTCATTAGATTCCCAAGCAGACGCCAAACTTTCCTCGTCAGTCCTATTACCCTCTCTCTCAGACTTGAATCAGGTCACTGACCTTACCCAGCATACCTTTTTTTGGTCCCTTTCAGCTTTGTCCACGAGCACCAGTTATCTCTGAACTGCTCAAAGCCTGCTTTTGTTCCTTACTATGATTTTCATCAGGTCACTTCCCTTCTGTCTCAATTTCCTCACATATAAAATGAAAGAGTTGGAATAGGTGATCTCCAAGGCTCCTTCCATCTGAAGACCCCGTTAACTAGCTATAAGACATGTACTACATGCAGAGTGCAAAGAACATTGGATTTGTGGTAGAGTAACTGGACTTCAGATCTGGCCTCAGACACCTATGACCCACGTGATCTTGGGAAAGTCATATAACCTATCTGGGACTCAATTTCTTCATTTGTAAAATTGGGGGTGGGTGGGTGGAATTGATGGCATCTAAGGTCCCTTCTGTCTCTATATCTTTGTAGGATCATAGATCTGGCTCTGGAAGGGACTTAGAGGCCACATAATCCCAACTCTTCCATTTTACATATAAGGATGCTACAAGGTCCAGGTGTACTAAGGCTGTGGTTATATAGGCCATATACATCAGAATCAGATTTAAAGAGCCAGAACTTTAATGGAAACAATGCCAGGTTTGGAATCAGAGGACCTGGGTTCAAATTCCAGTCACTTAAGTAGCCTGTGGGACCCTGGGTGAGTCAATTAATCTCTCTGGGCCTCAGTTTCCTCATCTATAAAATGAGGAGCTTGGCCTAAATGACATCTAAGTTTTCTTCCAGTTCTAGGGCTAGGATCCTGTGATTAGAAGACCTTCAAAGTCCCTTCCAACTCAGTCTATGATCCTATG